TTGCAGGGACGACCGAGATATTCGTTTAGTAATAAACGTATTAATGTCACTAATTTTAACCTTTGATATTTTTTACTAAAATGATGTGTTGTGCTCTTATTTATCTACCATTTATATCCATTACTAACATTGACACACAAAAAGCGGTACCCCTGCCATTTATTTATTTATTTTCATAGAAAACATCTCAAAATACCATCTTTAAAAACATTATTCATAAGAAGTTAACTAGATTTGTCTCTGGGCTAAAACATAACATAACTACAGGATCAATACAAATAAAAAAAATTAAAATTGAAATAATAAGAGTCAAAAACACATATGTATAAAAAATCAAAGCAGATGCAGTAATAAATACAGTTATAGTAGAATAATAGGCCTATACATAGAATAGGCATACACGCAGGATGAAATGTAACGTACCGTACTGTACGTAGTGAATGTTGTAGAGGTCAAGGGTGAACGCGTTTCTGGAGCCGTGAATGCGTTACAGAACCTTAATGTCACCGCATTACCTTCCGAAGCACAGCGGAAAAACCTGTAAAAAAAAAAAATCACTTTTACCATATTTTGGATAATTACCGTACTAAAAGTTGGTTTCTATTGATTATTAAGTAGTTTTCTACTCTCGTGTGGTAATATTTTTATCATTTTTGCACCCGTGTGGTCGCGAGCGGTCCCGTGTGGTCGCGAGTGGTTCCGTGTGGTATTTAGTAGGACCGATCACCGATGAAGTAACACTGACAGATACAGAAAAATCGTTCTGTTGTCTCTGTATGAAATTATGCCGCGAAATATAAATACAGGAATCTATTTGTATGTACAGTGCACACAATACGATGTTTGGTTTTCCGGAAAGATCGTTTTGTGGAACATTTCTATTGAATCCTTTCCGAATAAGGTAGGCCAGTTAGAGCCTAGCCTAGACACTAATAATAATATAGGCTTAGCATAGCCCAGTCAGTGAATTCGTTATGACTAGCCTACGAAAAGTTAACATATTATTTTACATATAATACGTACAGTACCTGTTGTTTAGCTGTAGTGCACAGCAAATTGAATTACTGTACCAATAAAATGAATGCTTTTATATTGTTTTTACGTGCATTTCGGTCTGACATTTTTTCTAAATTGTAAACACAACACATTCTTCGCGGTCACGATGCGAAATGCGTTGTAAATATCAGGTCGCGCCTCCTAAACTCTGCCCGCTAATTGGTTAATTTTTTTCGTGGGGTCATGTGGCTGGGCAAAAATCCCATGTGCTTGGCTGTCATGACGTCAGATCGCCAAAACTTTCATAGTGCGTGACAGCTTGCTTAATTTTTAATTAAACAAATTTATTAAAATAATTAAGAAACCCTCGTGGTTTTGTTTTAGAGTCAAATCTAAAATAAATCTTATTCAAATTTAAAAGTCATTCTCTGCAAATTTCCTCCGTAATTAGCAATGTTTTTGGGGAATGTGAGTGTATTTACATGTAGACTGATACATGAATCTAATGACATACCAAATCCGAATTAAACGTCTACTGAAAAAGAGCCATCGTAGAAATAATTCCTTTTTCATTTCAGGTTAATTACAATCAATTTTTAAGTATTAATAATGCGATAATGCACTTTATTAAAACAATGGAAGGCGTAACTATCACATTATCCAACATTTTACTGGTGTGTCATTTTAATTAATAGATAATCTCTATGACAATACTATTGGGACTATGCTTTGTACGGAAATCGTTGCGTTTATTAACTTTTTGTCCCACATTGCATTGTGGGATGGATACATGACATGGATGTTTTATCTTCACGGTGCACACACAGACGGAAATCAAATTCTCCTTGTCGCTGTAACATGCGGAGAAGGTTATTTTCCTCTGTAACCAGTCTAGCCATGGATTCCTCCATGGCCTAGCTACTGCGTGATGTTCATCTGTACTGAGCCCAAGGCTGTTCGTAGCTGACATTAACATGACAATAAACAGAAAATAGCGATCTTGTTGACATTATCTGTGTGAAATATTTTGTAAAGACTTCGTTAAGAGGTGAATGAGTAAAACTTTAGGTATTTTGTCTGACTTACATTGAAATTTTAACTGGTCATGCGGACTTGTTATTGAGATAATTAACAGGTCCGCCATGCATTTTACTAGCCATTGGCCGGTGGACCAGCGTTATTTCGAACCCTGAAGCTTCTTTGCAAGAAGGATACGCATCCTGCTGACCACCATTGTTGCACACCACTGCTCTTGGATGCAGAACTAGGTGTAATGAGAAAGGCGCGAGCTGATGGTAAAGCTGCAAAAATTGCAAATTTCGCGGGTTAATTTTTAATGAGTAAACCAGGCATCACAACAGATTATCGCAATCGCAATGACAATATTTAACTTGACGCTACAGTACAGCTACAGGAGCGTGTAACAACGTTAGCGCAGGAATTTCAGCTTGAGGTTTGAAAAGTCAAGAAACGTATGAATCGTAAGAAATTCTGACTTTTTCGTCGACAGGAAACCAGGCTTTAATCCTTGACATGCACACTAGTGGTTTATCCCTTGATGTCAAGTCCCAACTGATTGAACCTTTTGAGTATTCAATATAAACGTCCATATATATGTGCCTCAAGGGTTTGCTTTAGCAAGACGGCTAACACATACAGTACAGACCTTCCAATTTATTTTCAAAAGTTCTGCGATGTTTGTTAAACTCTGCAGTTTTTTTTGCTTGTACTGTAGAACATCTCCTTTAGGATACCAATATTTTTTTTAATACCTTGTTTCACAAACTTGTTTTTTTTTAAGTTCATCAGAGGAGGGCAGAAAGAAACTAAAATGAAATGTTGTTTTCTTTAGCAAGTGCCAAAAACATCCAGATTATTTGTCAGCCTTCTACAGTGGTACTTAAAATATGCAAATATGTTTATTTTTTATATATGATTTCCTTTCAGTAGATATATTTTAAATGTTTATCCATTGATTAAACATTTCCTCAATTTTTCCCCAGCCATCCTGGTTATTTTGGTAAAGTAGGAATGAGGCACTTTCACCTAACAAAGAATAAGTACCACAGGCCGGCCATCAACTTGGACAAGATCTGGTCTCTAGTCAGTGAGCAAACAAGGACGAATGCAGTAAAGAATACAGAAAAGGCCCCGGTCATCGATGTTGTCAGAGCCGTAAGTACAAAAGACAAGTTTATACCTGTATATCACATATAGAAATCCATTCAGGAAAATTGGGCCAATTTCCATGCAGATTTTGCCGAAAATTGGGCTTTGACAACAACATCAATGCGGGGCTTGGCAAAAACATTCAATAGGCGGTTAGTGTTGTGTTAAATGATTGAAGGTTGTTGGTTCTTTGAAAAAGTAGTCTTGTATTAAAGGTGTCTATAAAAAGTATTTGTTGTTGCTCAGTCAAATTATGTGATCAGTTTGTGTTTTCAACTTACAAACCGTTTACTACATCTTAAAATGAGAAATATCCTGTATAAGACTGGAAAAGATATTGTTTACGTTCATTGTTAATTTGGCAAAGATTTTGTTTCTTTCATTCTAATTTTCAATCAGAATCTGAGAAAAACATGTGACATGCCTAAATATGGTCATGATGACATCACATCATGACCATATATAGGCACATCATGACTATATATAGGCACATCATGACTATATATGGGCATACAACAGGTTTTTTGTTACAGAAATTTTGATAGTGTGAACAAGGCCTAATTTCATGAATCTTGATTTTATGTTTGTTTATTCTTTTTTAGTGTATTGTTTGATATCAGTACTTCTAAAATTTGAATAAAATTTTGAGTAGCTCATTTGAAAGAATCAAATAAACTATTAGCTTCCAATGAGAAAACAGATCGAAAAAAGTAGTTTTCACCGATTTAAAGACATTCTACTACAAGTCTTTAACATTGATTACCAGGATCTATGCAAAAGAATACAGGAAAGTTATTTAACTGTCTGAAAATTGATGGGGATTTTTTTTTTATTCAAATTTTAAATTTTAAGTTATTGGACTTAAATTTATTTTGCCTTTATGTTTGCATTCTCTATTCTCTTTCAGGGATATTACAAAGTTCTAGGCAAAGGCATTCTCCCGAAGCAACCTGTGATTGTAAAGGCTAAATTTTTCAGTAGAATAGCCGAAGAGAAGATCAAGAAAGTTGGTGGGTGCTGCGTTCTTGTGGCATAGATGCCACCAACACTGCAGTAATAAGTTTCCAGCTTTTGAGAATATTGTAATAAATTAGACCATATGTACAAGGATAAAGTGCTTCAGAGTCATTTTTGTTATACTGTATGTTCTTTAAACTTGGTTTGCAAACAATCGCTACATGCTATCACCGACAGCTTTAGGCGATGTTGATTGGTCAGTTGATTCGGGAGCCTTCCCGATTGCTGCGCAGTACAACGATTGCACTGAAAACACTAGCTGCGTAGCGACAGTATGACATCATTAGATTTAAAGTGGTGTGGTTAATTTCAAAAAGTACCTAACATTTCATTACAGTAAAAGATATTTAAAATTTTGATTTTTCTTGTGGTTGTCATTTGTCTACTACAAAATATCAATTTGATTTAGGATAGCACCTCCTTCAGTAGCCAGCTTGCATTCAATTAGAGTTATATTTTTTTCTCGTGCATGTGCGAGAAAGTAAGCGAAATACTATATCAAGTACATAATTGAATTGACCAATAAAATTTTTATGAGCTATCACTGTACATTACAATACAACACGTGTCTATTTCCCTCTATGGAGAGCAGAGACACTATGTCAGCGTCTTCATACAAATGAGCAACTTTTCTTCGTTGTTGGCCATCGGGAACAAACAAATTTTGCAACCACTTTTTGGTAGCCTCACAAGATAATAGGCTACACTGAACGACATTACTGGAATCATGGTACCCATTGCTACGGATGCGAACAACTAGATACAATGCGATTCATGGGAATTTCCAGAAAATTTCAAAGTACAGTACAGTACTGTATGTATATTTATTACTGTAGCTAATCAACATAGCATCTGCATGCACATGAGTATGGTCCGGGAGTCGTCAAAATTTTTTTCTCGCGACCAAAAACAAGTCCAGTGTCAAACCCTCATAATGAGACTAGCTAGCTCGCTGCCAGTAGTGTACAGTATATCTTTACAATCGGACAGTAATAAATACGTGTCTTAGAAACCTTATACTATAATAAAATTTTATTCATGACTATTTTCAAGAAATAGCCAACAATCCCATAAAAGATCCAATTACAGTACATTTAGCAGAAAAAGCCACTACATTATTGAATTATAATTCCTCTCGTCAATATTGTTTTGTATGTACAGTACAGTATAAGCCAATTGGGCATACAAGAGTGGATTTACATACTGCAGAACAAAATGCACTTGTCACTTCTACAATCCAATATTTGAATATTATCAATACTGCGTTAGGTGAGAAACATTTTATACCTTGTTTCGCTAACTTATTTCTTTAAATTTCTTCTTTGTTTTCGCCAAAGACATCAAGACGGAAAAAATAAAAATAAATTTTTATTATTGAATGTGACAGTGTAGCAATGGATTTTTAAATGCTTCAAATTTATATGATTAGGAAGAAACATTTTATTTTTGGCAATTTCAAGGCAGCGGTGGGTGCGTTAATTGGCAAAAAATTAAATTTTATATTTATTTGAAATCATTTGCGGGCAGCAGGGTCGCTAAACAAGGTATAAAAAAAGTCTTGCCTTGGCATCAGCAATAACATGCAAAACTATGAATATAAATGTGGTGGCTCAGCTAGCGGAGTTCGTTGACCTTTGGCTGGGCCTTTATGTAGAACACTATCATTTATTAATAAGCAATTTTTACAGTACAGGCATACACTATCGACATCAATCAATTTTTAGCCACTGCGACAGACAAGTCGGCTTTGCCATCCCGTGCGGGGATAAAACATGCTATCAGAGGCTTCATTTGTGACGATAACATACAGTATTTTCAAGTACAGATGTAATAGTATAAAGCTTCCTTTTCTTTCGCCACTAAAAAACATTACATGGTAATAAGAGGCCTCCTTGGTGAGAAACTTCTCATTAACCAAAAGGTCCATTGATTATTCCGAGATTAGAAAGTACTGTATAATAATGTATATACTCCAAGTATTGAAATACACATCATTGTGTTGGGATTCACTATATCCACATTCATTATGTCATCATCAGTAATTTCTCTTTCTTGGTCTGTCAAGCAATTACATCCACCAATTTGTAGGCATAAACTTTGAATTAAAATGTAATATAACACACTTAAATAGATCCCTGTCATTTGATTGGTGGATTTCGTATCGCGTGATATTGGTTATTTACCCCAATTTGTCACTCATGGAAATTTAATTCCACCATGCATCTGTATTTCACCCATTTCTTCCCATTACACAGTGCCTAGGACACAATATGGCAATCAACCTAATACAATCTTTTGATTAGTTAAAGAGACACAAGACTAAGGAAGATTTTTTCATAAAATACCAAATGACAAGAATCTATTTTAGGTGTGTTATAAAACAAGTACAGTACTGTAATGGAAAGAATATTTTCATGAGTTGAAAGATTGACACCTCCATTCATCGAATGAACAGTCAATCTTTCAACTCATGAAAATATTCTTCCCACTATTATTGTATAGTATTCTATTAAAAGTAGGAATGTACTGAAAAAAATTGCCACACGAGAAGCAAATAACATGTTGTAATGACAGCCAGCCCAGTATATCACACTGTCCAATTGTAGAAGTAGGTTGTCTGCCAGATAGGAAGGTACTCCATCAATGGACCTATAAAGTAAATAAAAAAGGTAGTGTACATAGAAGTGGTACAGTATAACTTAGTAGAGTAGAATGTCTTGTTTTTTAAAAAAATGTTTGTGATGATACTGAGGGCACATTCCAAGCCCAACAAAATTTTCGGATCAGAAGGCCTACTGAACTGATCAGAAGATCGAATCGGTGAGTAAGCATAGGGAAAATGCTGACGTAAATATATGATGATGATTATGATGATGAATCATAGGGACGCTGGCGTTTATTGCTTCGGAAAGTGTTGCATTTGTATTCATTTTGAGTTAGATAAAATAGCTTAACAATGCATGTTAATAGTGAGAGAAGGGTGGCAACAGAGCATTACAATATATATCATAAAGGCTACAATAATAAGAGAATGATACCCACCGATAATGAGGCTAGATGCTGGAAATCGCTGTGAAAACCCCTTCAACATACTTAGGATCCTCATTCTTTGAAAATAAAAAAAGGTTATACATATGTTAATAATTGGCAATTTTATTTTTTTAAGATGTGATGTAAATGATAATACTGTACCACCATCCAAGTTTAAAAATATCAAAATATATATCAATCGTGACATCATTTGTTTGATCTTTTGCACCTGAGCAATAGGCCATTTCCAGTGAATTATCTTTATTGCAGTCACTATCATGGTCATCATCATCAATTAGTCATACTTATTTAGTCAACTTCATTTTCATTTGACAAAGATGCTGTAATGACTTGAAAGAAAATATTTTGAAACAAACAATTGTGAAAGTTTATTCACAAAACCCCAACAAAAGTTGTTACACCAATTAGTAATAATAACCTTACTTTTTCCAGTTCCATATGTGGTAAACCAAAGCAGACAAAATAAATCCGCCTTTTTGTTATATGAAGTTTCGGGAGTTTAAATATACAGCTGTTTGATGAACGGTATTTCAAAAATCAGCCTTAAAAGTTTTCGATTTCAGACATTTCTTAGGTAGAGACCATCTCCAAATTGTAAAAAAAAATGTTCTAATGTCAAAAATGGGGAAAATAATAATACTGAAACTACGCGTGATGGATAGATATTTAAAGGTTACTCAATGCAATAAAATAGACTTTGAAAATGTTGACATTCCTACATGTTTTGGCCATTATCTCCAAAACACAATTTGCAAAGAATGACTGGTTTGGCTTGTCTTTGCCACATATATTTTGTGTTCGAATTTAAGAATAGCTCACTTACTTTGAATATCTATCAAAGAATGGAGACCGTAACAAGTAAATAAGCAGTGCTGTTGTCCGCCTTTTCACTTCTGATTTCTCTTCTGGATTCAGGTCATCGGTTTCCCCAATAAAATGTAAACTACCAAAGAAAAAAAACATAGAGGAATTAAATTTATCCAAAGCCGTTTATTTCTTCTTATATAGCCATGTTCAGATGGCCTTCCTGGAGTAAATTTACAAACATATATGAGCAAGTTATTTCAGACAAGGGTCCACACGATGCTTACCCAGATCATAATGTGCTTTTAGTACCTTAAAGTTTCTGGTAAGTGACCACTTTTTTGTCTCACAACTATTATTTTTCATTCAATTTTCGAAAAATTGTAAACAATTATAAAAAACATTGCGTCTACAGACGTTTACACAACACAGGAAATACTTCGTGTCTACAAACGTTTAAACATCACAGAAAATGCTGCTTTGGTACTCACTTGTAGATACATTTAAAAAACAATTGAGATTTTATAATTAATTTTATTACTTCGAGCTCTGAAGTGCATCTACACGGTACTTATTCTGTCCGTACATTTCTTGAGTACATGAAAGTAGCATACTTACTCCTGAGACGTCTTGCAAGTACTGTAAATCGTCTGTATTAACGTTGGTGAAGCAACATAAAACAAAGAGCATCTTCACTGGCAATACCCAGGGTTTACAACAAGTAAACTGCTACTACAGTGCTTACTTCTTAAAATTAATTTAATTTTGTTATACCTGTATTATGTTTTTATTTACTATATTTACCTTGATAGATCTAATCCAATGGAGAGAAGCCAAGGTGTCCAGGAGTTCATACCAAAACAAAACATGGAAGACACTAACATAAAATTACTAAGAAAAATACATAATAAAATTGTACCTATTATATATACACATGGTCTTGTGCTTATCAAATAAATATTTATTTTAAATAATATTTTAATATTTTGAATAGCTTACTTTGTATAATTAAGTTATTATCGTCAATTGAATCAAATAATATTTTTTAAGGTGTTCGCCATGCTCTAATAATAGCAAGATCCTGGGTCCAAATCAAGAGAATTTAATGTTTTTTTTATTTATTTATATTATTTTATTAACATATTATTATAAGTAGCGCCCATAGTTCTTCAAAATGCATCCTATCGGACACATCATGTAGATACTTTTATATACAGCATTGTGTTAAAATCTAGAAGCAAAATAACAATTTAGTTCTCAGGTAGCTAAAAACATCTATCACCTTATTTTGAAGCTAGCACCTGCCCTCACTTAATCAAGCCCTCAACTTCACATTTGCACCCCCTACCCCCATTTCAAGGCTGAAGGACACGCTATTGGCAAACATGGCTTATAGAACATCTCAGTTTCATTCCTCGTATTCAATTTCCTTTATAAAAGTTGTTAAAAGGATACAATGAGCTAGAGGCCTAATGATATGTATTCCTTCACCGATGAGACGTTGCTTGCTTAATTCTGTTGGCTCCATTGATACTTCAAGTCGGCTCACCTCCGTCTTGTCTTCAGGCAATTTCCAAGTTCTCTGACTTAAGGGTGGTGCTACAAAATAAAATTTAATACCATCATTGTAAAGAATTATAAAAACATGTTAATAATGATATAAATATCAATATTACTATTATAAACATATTTTTACTATTAAAAATAAAAAATATTAATTAAATACAGTAAACTCCAAAAAATTGTAAAGCCTATATTGACAAATATAAGCACATCTAATAGTTGATGTGTCTTGGAAACATACTTGACCCATATTGTTGCCCTCCATAACCTCCACTGATGCCAACAAATTAGAACTAAATTGCGGTCAACTCATTTGCATACAAAAAAAGCCTGTTTTTGGCAAATATTTGTATTATATTTTATGGCTTAAATATTTATCAAAAACAAAACTGGGGTGGATGCAGACGGTGCGATCGCACCCCCCCCCCCCCCCCAATCAAATTGTATTAAGAAAAAAAATGTATTGTATTAAGAAAAATATTGTATTGTATTGTTGATACATTATTTCAAGTTTCTCTTTATTGTCACATAAAAGTTCACATGAAATTCTCTTTCCAAGGTTAAGAAGCAGTACACCATATACACAAATATAAATAGATAAAAGGTGTTAAAATAAAGATACAATTCATTAGTAAATATTTTTATCATTATGTACTGGTACGGGCATTTATAATGCGCCTCTTCCTTGCGGTTATAAAGCGCAGTTCTTTTCCCTGGTCATTGGGTCCACATGCTAAGTGTTGCTGCAGGTAATAAGCACAGGAGCAAGCAACCCCACCAGGTACACATTATACTCCTGGGTGGAGAGAAGCAATGCAGGTAAAGTGTCTTGCTCAAGGACACAAGCGAAATTCACAGTGAGGGATTGAAAAACCCCGACCTCGAGGTTGGGAAACTAAACTGTTCCCGCTGCACCAAACCGCTTCCATATACCGGCAAGATTTTTAAAGTGTGAGAGTGCAATTTCCGGGCACTTAGAGGTCCATATTCTCAACCTTTCTTTCCTCAGCCAAAACAATGGTAGGGCTTTTACGCACACCCTACCGCCAAATCCTGCATCCGCCCCAGATAAAAGTTAGCATACCGTACTCGCGTGAATAAGCGCCCGGGCGCTTAAAATATTTTTTGCACTTTTTGAGGGGCGCTTATTCAAACAGGGCGCTTATCAAAACAGAGTGGAAATTGAGGGGGCGCTTATGGAAATAATTGAAAATCGAGGGGATATCATGAGAACTTATTAAATTCAAGAAGCACATTTTGAATGAAAAATGATTATATAAGGACATTAGGAAACCGCAAATTACGAATGGTTGTGCAGCGGAAAGGAAGATAATCGTCCAGAGAGCATGGCTTTCCATGACAAGAATGTTGTGAGTACATTATTACATAACAGCAGAATAGCAGATTAAATTAGTGATGGTGGTTAGAGCTTGTTGGCCATCGGCCGATTGAGATTAGCAGGATTGCATGATCAATGCACGTTTTATTGAAAACTCAGATGAGAATGTGTGGTGCAAATTGTCGGAAAATCACGTAGGAATAGGCTATAGGAAAATATAAGAAGACGAAAGTTGGAAATATACTGTCTGTCCAGGGAGCTCTAATCTATCCAAGATAAATATCCTCATTTTGATTGACTAAAGGAGAATGTTATTCAATCCACACCTCAAATTATGCCAACATCCACAGTCCAGAATTGATTGAATTATTGACGGGGCGTTTATTTAAATTAGAAGGGGCGCTTATTCAAACTGGGCACTTAAGGAAATTTTCACGTTAGAAGGGGCGATTATTCGAGAGGGGTGCTTATTCAAACGGGGCGCTTATTCGCGCGAGTACGGTGTATTATTAAGCAATCAAAAGCTAATATTTGCATCAACACTACAAACAATATTATATAGAATATCTGTAATCTACCCACATGATTTAAGTGTTCTTACGGTACGACCACACCGCCGCCCTTTAAATAGACTTTCCGTTAGCTCTTCTTTGTGCGTTGAGGTCTCTAAATCCCCTTTAGTTAATGACGTTGACAATTTCTCACTCTGGTTGTTCTCGGCATCATTTTCATCATTAACTTCTTCTGCTTTGATATTTTCTCTTTTTACTGGGCTAATTGGAGTTGATTTCTGAATTCCGTACTTATATTTCAAAAGAAGAATTAGCCGTAAGGTAGCCCTATCAATAAATAAGAGGGAATTCATATTTAATTTATCATTATCATTGTTTTATTTATGAGAAATTAAACAACTTACTGTACCATCAAACTCATTATCATCTGTTGAAGCCATCATTTTTAATAATTATTGCTACTGGTAGGTTAAATGTCCGAGCGGTTAAGGCAGGTAGGTGCAACAACCTACAGCCCTAATATCGGCGCTGGCTCGAGTGGCACGCTCGCCTATGGCTCTGGCGGTTGAACAAGTCTTCTCGGATTAGAACTACTGTATAAACCATAGGTCCAGTGTACACAATTGGCTCATGTGCACTTTAAAGAACCCAGTGCATCTTTCGAGACGAGTAGGGGGTTACCCCGATATACTGGTCCATACAGAACCTATTACCCTGCGGTTATGAACCATCCTTTGCAGAATGTACCTACGCAAACCTAAGGGTGATAGGAGTGAGCAAAACATTTTTGGGGTAAATTCCAAATTCATGATATATTCCAATTCAATTATACTTTATTCTTTATTCCTCAATTCCAATGTAATTCTGTAATTTATTTATTAAAGATGATTGGTTTCAACCTGAAGCAGGGCTCAATTTCAGTGAAATAACAACAGAAATTAATGTTTCTTTAGAAATGTTTTAAATTTGTAAATAAATATTAAAGAATTAGGAACATACTTAAAAATCTGGACCACCAGTATCATGGTCCACCTGGTAAACTCTCCACCAATACGAGATGCTGCCAGCTCTATAAATACTTCCATGTATGATGTAATGGTCAGCCACTGCATCAACCTTGCCTGAGAAAAGCACTGTAAATACAAACCATTTACAATTAATTTTCCAGAAAATTATCTATAGATTTATACAGTAGTTACTGTAGTAAAAGACCTAGCCCCCTTGAATACAAAATTGGACCAATTATTTGGGGTAGCCTGGGGAATGCTATTTTTTAAACAAGTGAACATTTCCTGGCACTGCATTCATAATTCAATGCCTACATTTGATTTTTTTCTGAGAATATTTTGTAAAAATTCACCCTGGGCTTTTGCTTGAGGAAAGGCTGGTACATAAAATTGGGCATAAAGTAGGGGTGGGCTTATACTCGATTTGGCTTTACACCCAAGAACATTTTTAATGTCTTTTAATATTTAAAAATATTAATTACTAAATCAGCAAAAGTTGTGATAGCAGCAATTTCTCTGCGGCAATAAATATTCTCCACTCGTTGAGTCCCACTAGATATACCAGAGACACTGACCAGAGGCTATAGGCAGTCCCTAATACTTCAGACCCCTGTTGGACTTGTTGGTCCACTGCTGTCAAATTTCTGGATGTTAAACCTTGCTTCAATTATTACTCATATTTAGAACAATGTAATAGGCTGTAGATATTGGTCTGGCAGTTTTATGTAAATTTGGGGTGTTGATTGGTAGAGCTGGCTTGACCCTAACCTTAAACCTCAGTCTTGCTATCTTAATGCATTGCAGAATGTCGGAAGCTTATTGGAAGAATATCCATCGTTATAATAATAATATTGACAAGAAATGTTTGCTAGCATTAGAAAATTCTTTTGTATGGAAATTACAATAGCAAAACAGATTGTATAGTACTAATGACAACCTACAATGTTGGATTTGAAAGTTTCAAGTGTCCGCCGAAAGATGTTGTCGTGGAACAACACAAGTAGATTAGATGCTGCAAAAACTGCAAGAATAATGAAGAGTTTAATAAGTAATTCATGTTTGAATGATATTTTGAAATAACATGAAAATAATATTAACATTAATATGCTCTTTCATATAAACATAAATATATAATTGAATCTGATATTACTTTCTTTACTAAATATAACTACATTTGTATATATGATCTACAGTATATTGTATTTAATCTATTAGCAATTTTTATTGTAATATAATGTATGAATTGAAGGCCTATAATGGTTTTGGTCTATTGCACTGCATCTTTTTTATCTAATATTGTGTTCAGACTGCATTAATAAATAATCTACTAATCGTGAAACATTTATATGATACAGTAACTTACTCAACTCTGACATAACTTGAGACTCTTCGAAACGTCCTAAAAAAGTAAATCAATGTTAAAAAAAACAAAAAACAAATGCCATGACAATAATTAACAGTAAACTAGCTTATTTCTGAATAGAAAATATTAAAATTAAAGCGATACTTTATTTTTAGTATTATTGACATATAATTTGGCACCGAAGTTAAAACCTTGGCCAGGTATAATTCCTTTTGCAAGGGGTTCTTTCTTTCTTCCTTTCTCAAGAAAGACAATCTCATCCCTATAGTAGGTATGTTACAAATCGTGATGTCACACTTCCTAGTTTTGGTCACTTGTTCAAATGGGCGGCTTGCACTGCTGGGCCTGGACGTAGGGTTTCCGGAATGCCACCCTCAGCGGCGTGTGCGAAGCACAACTCAAGAGCCAGAAGTGGAACGTGAATTTCCGATAAGGTTTCGTAGTCAGATTTTCGAGAAAAACTTCAGCTACCCGTATTTCTCGACTGAGACATCAATGGGAGCTGTAATTTGTATGGCAAGGAGATGGTGTTACCCTTAATCCATATTAAGGGAATTTACGCCCACAAACCTTGTAGTTATTAATATTTTGGTTATAATAGAAAATTTTTATTTTTTGGTGACGTCGCACTCACGCTATAGTTAGCATGCATACGTCATAAGCTGGATTACGTCACCTTTTCCTGGCAAGGCAAACTTTCCCGGCGTGCTTTTTTCATGGATAAACAAACACCACTGCTTTGCACATGAATGCCCTGCCTAGCTAGGGCTACAAGGGCCGCATAGTTAGCATACATTACTTAAACAAGGTTCGTCTGCAGCTGAATTATTCTTAGAAACAATTGTCTCTATGCCTTCGCTAATTAATCACCGTAATTTAGCTTACACTTATGCATGGAGGGAGCATTTAAAATGTACAATAATCATTTGACTACCCGACAAACCCTGAACTTTATTCATGCATACATAAATAGTTTCATCTTGCTGTACTCCAACATCACTGGCGCATGGTAACAACCAACTGGTAGACCATTTCCGGTCACACATTACTCTCCATAACACAGCACTCCCTAGTTCCGTGTCCTCTGGGTGTTAGGTTTAAAAAATCTTTAAGAATGCATTTATTTCATTGGATATTGCTGATGTCATAAATCAATATACAGATTAAAGGTCAAAGAAAGCTTACAAATTTGTTTTGTTTTCATCCGATACTCGATTAAAATCCACTTTTATAGCAGGAGGAGAGTTTAATATATCTACCATGATTGTAATTTTGACCAAGTATGAAGAAATGAAAATCATCAGGAAAGCGGTTTTTTGGGATGGAAAAACCATTATATATCCACTACCGAGATGCTGGTGGTAGGGGTATGCAGTGGGTGAAGGTGGTGGGGGAGGGGTCGCTGGTTAGGAGAGAGGAAGGTGGTGCAGAGAGGAAAGGTGGTGGGGTATGAGGAGGTATTTTGATTTGCGCGTGGTAATTGTAAATAATGAAATGTACTAATATGTACTAATAGTGTACTGTATCTGAATACAAAGGGATTAAGATAAATAAGGGGGAGGGGGCAGGGTCTGAGATCAGGGGAGGGAGGGGATGGGGATAAGCTGAAGTTTAGTGAGGGTATATATAATAATTATGTATAATAATAAAGACACACCATACACTTTCGAGGGAAGCAGGTCAACTCGGCCACAAGTCAACTCGGCATTAGGATTAGCATTAACATTATGTATTGTTTAAATTTTTGCTGATATTATTATTGTTACCATATTATAAATAATAAAAAATTTGATTTTATTTTTTTTATTCATATTATTATTATTATATATTAGTCTTAGTATTATTATTTTAATAATAGTAATTTTAAAAATATTGTTATTGGTGTTTTATTGGTATTTTTCTCATATTATTATTATTATTATTATTATTGTTGTTGTCACCTTTATTATCGATATTATTACCCTATTATTACTAAGTAGGCCTAGTATTATATTATTATTATTATTATTATTATTACTAATTAGTATTACTATTATTATAAAAATAAACGTTATCTTTAATTTATTATTGCTGTTATTATTGCTATTATCACCTTCAATGTTATTATCACTAATTAGTATTATTAAAATAGATATTTAAATATCATTATTATTACCATATTATTACTATTAGTATTGTTAAAATAAATATTACTATTAATATTGTAGTTGTTATCACCTTTATTATCATTATTATGACTAATTAGTATTAAAGTAAATATTTGAAAAGAACCGACATGTCACTGGTGATTCACGTCATTGGATGCATCTTTGTCACTGACGGGTTTCAAACATAGCCTCCAATGGTCGAACAAATATGAAGGACTGAAGTCTGTCACTCAACAATACCAATTGTTCTAATTGATACTAGATGCTGCACCCCACCTGATTTTAACGTAGGCCTAATTCTTGGGCGTGGTTCTGAAGAAAATAGTATCGAAATGCACGCCATCGTGCATTCATTTGATTTTAGTCGGATTCAAAATAATTTTTTAACATTTAAAAAAATCATGGGTTTTTTCTATTTCAATTTTTTATGATTAGGACTACAGTATTTACTCGTGTACATCATGAATAAGAGTACAGTGTGAAATGTATACAACAATCTCACGACGATGAGACGATGATCAGAATTTTACTAAAAAATAGTGTGTACTTTATTTTAATCATATTGAAGAAAAAGGATGCAGAAACTGTAATATTTACATTTCATTTTAATTATAAATAACTTGTGGCCGTGTTGACTTGTGGCCGAGTTGACTTGAGGCCGAGTTGACTTGTGGCCGTTGAGTTGACTGCAGCCGAACTTGTTGTGGCCGAGTTGATTTGTGGCCGAGTTGACTGTCTGTGGCCGAGTTGGATCTACTTTCTAGAAGAGGCGGGTAGGTACGTACCTGCAATCATGTACGACAGGATCCTGAACGTGTTTTCAATGTGAGCGACAGTTGTCGGGTTCTTTGACACCCAGTGTTCATACCATGACCAAGTCTCTTTATATCGTTCAAAAACCTTCTCCCAGACAGTATCTAATGTAGTGGAGCTAGCCATATTATTTGGTGGAATTTTAGGTTATTTAGAGAGCTTGCGAATCGGCACCTCTCTGCAAAGCTCTGCTGACGATATTTTTTTATTTACTACAACAGCGCCACCTCTAGTCCCCAGCGCAAATAAATGACGCCCCCTTACGGTATTGAACTTTTACTGTACCGGTACCGTACTGTACTGAACAATAAACATGTCTGAACAAAAGAATAAAACAAATATGAAAGATTTTTTTGTATTTAATAAGCTCATTTATGATCGAATAAGAAATTCTAATAACCATTAGAAAACTGAAAGAAAACTAGAACTCAACAATTACGTAGAAAAGACGGAACCATGACGTCAAGCAGAGAAGAGAAGGTATGCTCCTACTGTTATCAGGACTACTACAGTTGAAGAGGAGCAGATGACAATAATCAACAAAAGATCAGCTCACCTGAGACCTCAGAACCTCTATACATCACCCATCAGGAAATAGAAGCTGCTCAAAAACAAATGAAAAATTAAAAGAATAGACGAAGTATCAATTGTGACATATAGAAGTGGAGGATCGAGATAGTACGGTAATTCAACTAGAAGGAATTTATAATCAGATACTCAAGGAAAAGAAGATACCAAAAAGCTGGAAAGAAGCAAAAGTTTTCCTCCCTCACAAGAAAGGAGACAAAGCTAATATAAAAAAAAACAAAAACAAAAACAAAAACAAAAAACTATAGGCCAATGTCTACTTTCACACAGACATAAAATATTCTCAAGGATAATACAAAACAGGATCAAAATAGATCTAGATCGACATCAGCCCAGATATTTCACTACTAAATGTGTTTGTTTTATTTCTCGCAAAGCCGATGCTAGTGTTTTTGTGAGTTTCCTACCTATCAGGTCCAAGAGGCGGTTCGGCAAGCCTGCTCATGACTGACGCTGCGCGTCTTAAACTGCGGTGGTGGACCTTTTCTATCATTCGACACTATTTCTACCCCTCCTGTTATACTCCTACACTTTTGAAGTCCTTAGGAGGTCGGCTTTACCAATCCAGAACCAGAAAGCAAGCAGGATTCAAAGCAGGCCTCTCAACAATGGATCACTGGCATCAGTAAACCAGCTCATCGTGAAAACAAATAAATATCAATTGGAGATATGCCTGTGTTTCATTGACTATGAAGCCTTTTACTCAATAGAACAAAATGATCTATTCAGAGCACTTAGGGGAGAGGGAATCAATGAGGTGTATGTGCGCATCTTGGAAGAGATCTACACAAATGCCACATCCAGGATAGATTTAGATAAGTGGCAACAACTAGTGAAGATTGACCGTAGAATGAGGCAGGAGATACTCTGTCACCTAAAATGTTATAGCAGTTATGGAAGATAATATCTTAAATTAATATATATAAATATATATAACTATATATATATATATATATATAAATAAATCAAGATATATATATATATATATATATACTTATATATGTATATTCATATTTAAATAAATACGATAAATGACAATATAGGCCTAATAGATAAGACAGGCCTAGTGTATATATTTCCTAAATATATACGACATGTTCTCTAAATAGAAACTAAGGTAAACAACTATACTTAGAAAAATTATAATCCATAGATGGATTAAAAAAAAGATATTAATGTATAAGCAACAATTTGTGAAAGCAGGCGATATGTATATACATAAACAAATAAATAAATAATAATAAAAGTGATCGGGGAACTAAAAACTAATAGTGAACAATAGGCCTACATACAGTATATAAGCATAACAATATATAAATGAGAAGCAAATTTCATGTCGTCGAGGTATACAAGACTACCAGTAGGCCTATCAACTACGGTACTGCAGGTACTGAGCGCTACACGAAAGTCTGAAGAAGACTTTGTCCTTCTGGTGGTGATTGGGGTACACCGGGAGACAATCGCCTATTTTTTTCCGAATTTGACGTGTCTGCGTTCTTTAACGTGCACATGAGCCATAATGGACGTCACGGAACCAACGGCTAAAACGCCTCAACCGAAAGACGGTGCGCTATCGTAGAGAGCAGCAATGGGAGTTGAATCGGGGACATAGGTCTTCACTCTTCAGCGCATCCACAGTGGCTACCACCAGTTTAGCCGACTGAGCTAAGCAGCTAAAGTTGCCCTCTCTCTCTCCTCCCTCCCTCCCCCTTCTCTCACACATTCTCTCTTGATGTGATCAAGCGTCTTAAGCGGGTTTATAAAAATCGTTACTAAATAGTGTCAAGTGACCTTTCCGATTCAATTTAGGACAGCTAAGCAGTGTAACATTTGCAGTGGAAACATTGGAGCGGACACCGTAGGCCTATGCCTAGCAATGTCGTGGTACATTCAGCTCCAAAGTTTTTCTATATCCTTTTCATAGGCCTTTTTGCTACATCGTCTTGCGAGTTTAAGCCCCGCCCCTTGGATATAATATTCGTGTATTCTTGGCTCGGCTCTGTTCTGATTGGTCAGTTAGTTTGACACTCCGAAATAACTCATAAAAACGATTACAACAGATATTTAATATAACGACAGACGATCATGTGAAGGCTTTATTATATTAACTTCACCATCAATTTTGTGAATCGTATACAATTCATACTTTACTTCTTTTGTATGTTTATGAAAATACATATATAATAAAGATCTTTTCATTAGGAAACCTCAAAAGCACATACAACATATGGCCTATTAGTTTTTTATAATATAAATAATATAAAAACAGTGATTGTCAATTAGGTTAACACAACCGTATAGGGAATATTTGAGAAACAATATAACTTAATAATCTTTGATTAATAGACATGTTAATTAAAAATCCTCTAAGTTTAAACTGAGCATGAATATTTCGAATATCAATCACTGTTATGTCCCACTACCTTGTTGTACTGTATATATGATAATGTTGAAATTATATTGGTGGCTATAGACTGTGATAAACAAAAGACAAAGATATTGTAGATTGAAATATAACATGTAAAATTAAAGTATGCAATTACGGCACCAAGAAACATAATATGAAAACTCACTACCGATACTGTATCCATTACATTGTCACAATTTTTTCTAGATCAGCAGTCGAAAAATCCTTTGGCCCATGATCCAGTAAGCCATTGAAACATGATTTCCGACCCACGGTGGGAATAAACTAAATACGCAGGCCTACTTCTAGTGAATATCATCGTTAATTTTAATACTCAAGAGGTCAGCATTTGAATAAATTAATTAACCATTACTTGTTTACTTGTTTAGAGTGGAATAATTAGAAATCGAGGAATAATCAATCGAAATCATTGAGACAGCAGAGAATTAACTCTGTACAGTATAACAGATTTTGAGCTGAGAGATGATTGCATGTCTTGACATTCGACGATGATAGGAACTTTCAAACTAAATGCCATTGCCCACCAACGATTTCTCGCTACCTAAATTTGGGTCGCAAACCATGGTTTCCCGACCGTTGTTCGAGAACGTCGATCATCAGTTTGTACACAATCCGTTTTCGATCTTCTATGGGCCCAATCTATCTAAAATTTGATTTTGCGTAAATATGATGCGTGAAAAATAAAAATGAAAATGAATATAGTAAACAAAAATTATCAACATGTGTAAACATTATATAAACTACATTGTATATGGTTTGTTTTTACTATTCCTTTAGTGTTTGACACTATTGTAGTTAGGTCAAATCGCGTGGCTAGGCCTCATTCAGTGCTTGTTAATCATGGTGTATCCATGGAGGAATTAATTCCTCCATGGTTTATCCAAGGCCGGTTAAGACTCTGATACGACTGTCCACCTCATCTCTAGGAAGAACAGTATTTCGTAAGACTCGTGAGCCAGTGAATTTTGAACGTCCATGAAGTAAGCGGTAGTTATCGAGTAGTAATACGCGACCAGGTTGCAATTTCAACCAGTACTCATTTTCAGGGCTGTAGATTTTCTGGTAAAACACACGCAAGCTGTCGTAAAATAGTTCCGTCTGCTCAAGTGAGAGATGTGGGATAAACCGTCGGTCAGTTGGCTGATATCTGGAAAAATAAATAAAATGTATGTATTCTTTTTGTTTTAATGCTATGTTAAGCTATTATTTAAAAATAATGTATGTGCTCAAAAATGTCTTCCTCATAATAGAAGTGGCAAAATACGCAAAACAAACCTACCTGAGTATCTTGACTTCGTCATCGATTACAGTGAATACTGGATATTTTCCTACGTAATGGACACCTGCCAAAACAAAAAATGCGTACAATAATATATATAATATATATACATATATATATACACATAACACATATATACACATACACATACATATACATACATACACATACATATACATACATATACATATACATATACATATATATATATACATATATATATATATATACATAT